CTGGCTGAGCAGCTGGCCTCTGCCACAGTGATGGTAATGCCCGTCCCTTACGGTGCGTTAGCCCTTTCAGACCTGTCCACAGTATGTCCCGTCTTTTGTGGCAGGGTAAGATGGGGCCAGAGCACTACTTGGGGGCCTTGGCAGGCCTGGTGGTGTGGCCTGGGGCAAATCTTTCCTCCTCTGGCCCACTTGTAAAGAGAGGGGCTTGTTCCCCAGAGCGCTGGGGGCCTCCTGGGTGGGGAACAAGAGGTCACCAGGAAGGGGCCCCCAAACCTGCCTACTAGGGAGACTTTGCCTCTGTCATTTAGTACCTTGGGCTTTATGAGACTTCATTCGGATGCGGGGTTCTCTGGCTTTACAAACTGTGGTCAATCACTCGCTCCCTCCCTGCTAAGCTACACTGAGCTGAAGCCGGCCTCGGTCCTCCTTGCTGAGTCTGGATGGGAAAAGGCGGTCCGCTCTGCCGTGCTGCCTCAGGCCAACTACCCAGCCTCTCAGAGTTTTGGGTTCTAGGCACACAAAATGCAGAAAATAGTAATCTGCCTCATAAGGCCGATGTGAAGATTAAATGCGTCACCTCCAGACGGCCGTCAGCCCGGTGCCTGGTGCATAGCAGCCACTTAAAGAACAGGCAAGCCCTCTCGCTCTCTCGAGGTTTTAACAGTCACCTGAGCATGAGGCGCGAGTGACTCAGCAGTATGAACGACCCCGTGATCACAAGGTGAAGGAGACAGGGACCTCCCTCAGGAACTCCCTGTAAAGGGGTTCCCAAACCGTGGCCTTGATGCTCCAAATCGCCCCACGCCCTAGACACTCCTCCAGAGAGTCACCCCTTCCCACCCCTACAATGTCCCCAGTATAACTGCGTCCCCAGTGGCCCCGGACCTGTTTGAATCCCACCCGCACACACGCACCTGTCCAGGATTACCTGTCCAGCCTGACGGTGAGGCGTTGCCATCCAGAGTCAGGCCAGCCCGTGTTAAAATTCCAGTTCTGCGACTCACCCTATGACCTTAGACAAGCAGCTCTCCACTGGCGGAGGTTTAGCCCCACAGGGGACACTTGGCAATGTCTGAAGACATTTCGATTGTCACAACTAGGGGTGGAGGAAGTGCTACTAGGGAGAGGCCAGGGGTGCCACCAGAGGTCCCACAGCGCAGACGCTGCCCCCACTACGAAGAATCGCCTGGCGTCGGCGGTGCCGAAGCAGAGAAACCCTGCCTTGAATGAATGAGTGCCTTAACCTCCCCGGGCCACGCCTCTCCATCTGCAACGCAGGGCTGCCGGCAGTGCTACCTTGGAGAGCTGCTGCGTAGGTCAACACGGTGACGGTGACGGGGGTCGTCCCCGTAAATACCCCTTCATGAGTTGTGACGGGCCTGCCTCTGGCATCCCTCCTGGTCTCAGCCGTCCTTCTGCTAAGCCCACTCCCTGCGGCTTGCCTCCGGCCAGGCCAGCGCCTCTGACTCCGTGCTCGCTGGGCCCCTTGCCTCCTTCTCCCCTTGACCGCAGCCTTATCAAGCAGCCAGAATCTCTCGCTCAGACCCCACCCCAGCACCAGCTCCTGCCTCCTCTCCCACTCCTCCCAGCTTTTCCCTCCTGCCACGCTTGCCCACCTCACCACTGGTGGCTGCCTCTGCCCAGACTTCCTCCCCGCTCCAGTCCACCCCAGACTTCCCACGCCTCCCGCCGAGGTGACATAAGAGTGTGAAGCACATCGTGGATTTGGGCCAGGCTGCCTGGTCCAAGCCTGAGCTCGGCCTTCACTTTCTGTCCAGTGCTGGGAAAGTCAGCCTCACCTGCAAAGCAGGGAAATGATCTCTAACCCACAAGGTGGTTTTGTGGACCAAGCTGAGAATGGAGGCGGAAACGTACAACCGTAAAGAGCGTGAAAGTGTAAGTTATGCCGTTCGCTGAGCATCATCCGCTTTACATTTTTATTTTTCACGGAGCTTACCCCCTTCCAACAATGATAATTTTGTCTTTTATTGGTTGACTCTCGCCCTCCACTGGAGTGTCAGCTCCACGAGGGTAGGGATTCTTGTCTGTTTTATTCACTGGCACATAGGTGTTCAATAAATACTTATTAGATGAGTGAATTCACTCTCTGTGAACAAGGCGCTTCTGAAAAGCCCCTCACTCTGCCGCCTCCAAGGACCCTCTCGTCACATGCTTGTACTTGAACCACTACAGCATCCCCGTTGTACAGATAGAGAAACCGAGGCTGAGAGACATGTGGCGACCTGCCCAGAGTCACTCGTCCGGGCAGGGCCAGATGCACTGTTGTTGTAAAAACACCAAGCACCTCCTGTGAGCCAGGTGCTGGGCGGGGCATTAGAGACACAGGTAACTGAGACTCGGTCTCTCCTGTCCCTCACAGCACTTTTGGGAGAGTTACAGAGGGAGGCCCAGGATGCTACGGGGACTGAGGAGCCCCCTTCCCCCCTCTGCCCTGCCAAAGTCATTAGGCTTCAAGACAGAGGTCTTGGACTCATCTCTGGATTCTGATATTGCTTGTTACCGCCCCAGCTCCCGGGTTCCAGGGACTACCAGGAATCTGTGTCCCAGTTCTGGGTCCTGTCCTGCCCTTCAGCCACCATGCTTGGTTCTGCGTCTCCCTCTGCTTTCCCCACCTGTGGGCCACCGCCGGGAGCAAGCAGCGTAGCTCAGTCCTCGTGTCTTGGGAGCCACTGCCCGGATGAGGACACTGAGGCCCAGAGGCTTCAGTAGCGAATGTGTGATCACATGGCAAGTGAGAGGTGGGGCTGGGACCCGCTCTCCACTGAGCCCCAACTCCCCACCCCTGCCCCCTGCAGGCTCCCCTCCTCTGGGCCTGGCCTCTCCTGCTTTCTCCTGCTGCTTCTGGGACTGGGGCTCTGTGCCCCGGCAGAGGGAGGGCAGACCGATGGCACTCGGGGTCCGGAGTTAGGGCTGAGGATTCAGGATAAAGGTCCACTCAGAAGTTCAGATTTGGGGTTGAGGCTGTTTTGGTGGTGGTGAGGCAGGGGACTTAGGAAAGAGCCTAGAATGGACTTTGGGATGAGGATCCCCGCACCCTACCCCCGCCTCTTTTCCCCAAAGACAGGAGATCCGAGACAGGAAGACTTTAGTGTGGTTTTGCTTCCCCAGCCAGGAGGGGAAGCCAGACCAGGCGGGGACTTGCCGGGGGTGGGGGGGAGTTGCTCAGTGTAGGGGGGGGGAGGTTGCTCAGTGTGGGAGGGGGGGGAGGTTGCTCAGTGTGGGAGGGAGGCTGTGGCATGGAGAGTAGCACCAGCCCGTCCCCACCCACCCCCTCCTCTGCTCCTGGTTTGGGGAGCAGAAGAGGGAGAAGCAGAACAGACTTTGTCTTGTCTGGGAAGCTGAGGGTGGGGGCCATACCCTGGGTCCCTCACATGGGTGCATCGTGGATGCTCACCACCACCCAGTACTGTCCCAGCGATGGGAACCTGCGCATCCCCTCCCTCCCCGGTGCCCCTCCCTCAAACACTCGGAGCCCCTGCCTTGGTCTCCGTCCAGTCCCTCGCGCGTATGGCCAGCTGCGGAACCCAGAACAGAGGGCCTGGCCAGAGCTGCTAGCCTGGCATGCTACAGAAGCCTGGATGTCCCGGAGCTGGAGGGCCTAGCGACATCACCTGTCACCCAGGTTTCTCATCAGAATACTCCGTGGAGGGGCACAGGCACAGCTCACCCGTGGCTTCCGGAGCCCAGCTCTGCCACCCCTCAGGGAAGGCGAGGCAGCCCGTGGGGCAGGGCCAGGTCGAGGGGACGAGAGAGTCAAAGGGGTCCTTGGTGAGGCCCAAGGATGGAGGCCCGACAGCCTGGGGCAGGAAGCCTGGGGGCCTGCGTGACCCTGTTTTGTGAGAGGGCCTGGCCCCTCCCAGAACCAGCTACAAAGCAGACGGGGCCAGAGAGGACTGTAGAGATAGGTGCAGGACTGGCCTTCGCGGCCAGCAAAGTCGTGGGGGCTTTGCCGTTCCTGCCTCCCGCTACCCCATCTCTGGCTGGGACCAGGATGGAGACCCACCGTTGGCTTGTCCAGGCCTTGCCCTGCTCCCCCTTTCAGGCCCCATTTGGGAACCACAAAAATCTAGGACCTGGCTTCCTGGCAACGTGATGCCTGCACACACAGCTCTGGTGTCTGCTTTAAATTATCTATTAAAATAAGTACAGTCCTGAGGAAAAAAATCAGTACAGTCTTCGAGTTGGCAGGGTGGGGCGAGCAGTAGGGGGGCGGAGGGGGGACCCACGCAGCCTTTTTTCCAATTGCTCGGGTCCAAGGGAGTGGTCCGGGTGGAGGGGCGGGGCCTGGTCCTTCTCTGAGGGTCTGAGGCTTCCTGCTTGCGTCTAAGATGTAACGGTTGGTTTTGAAGGGAGATTAATTGGGGCAGAAGATAGGAAAAGAGGTACCCCAAACTTCTAGTCCTCACCCCAAAACTGAGGGTGGGAAAGGAACTCAGAATCCAGAACTTCGCCGTGCACCCCCCTCCCCCCAGGGAACCCAGGCGTTCCTCCCCACCCCGTCCTGGCACTGACATTCAGCTTCGAATGGGCTGCCCACGTGCGGAGCGGGGTAGGGGTGACTCACTATTACTATGGGGAGGAAAGGGGGAGCTGGTGGGGGAAGAAGGGTGAGTCACCCTGATAGGCACCATCCCCATCCCCCTTTCCTGGATCTGCCCGCCTGGCGCCCTCCCTTGCTTTACATCCACTCCCCCCCCCCACCTCCTGGCTCCCCGCGCGCCCTTTGCCCACCCACTCTCACCCCTGGGCTCTGCCCTCTACGCCCAAGGCCTGAGGCAGGGGGGACAAGCTTGCAGCCCGGAGCGCAGAGCAGGCGGGAACCAAGACGCGCGCCTCAGCAAAGCCCCGGACGGGCTGGGGTGCACGGGGGAGGGTGGGGCCCGATCCGCGGCGGCTGGGCAGTCCTCTGCCCCGCTCGCCACTCCCGCCCCCACCCCTGTGAGTGTGCGACGGCCCCTTTAAGAGCGGTGGCCCCTCCTTCCATTCCCAGGACCTATTAGAGCGATTGCCCAGACGCCGGTGACTCAGTGTTCGCGGGAGCGCCGCAGCCACACCAGCCAACCCGGATCCTAGGTCTGACAGCGCCGGCCCGGGTCCCCGCCTGCCAGGAGTAAGCCGACAGGCGGCCGGCCCCGCGTGTCCGACCCAGAGCCACCTCTGTCCTTCGACCCGAGCTCCGCGCCCTTCCTGCGATCCCTGCCCCGCGGGCAGCGCTGCCATCCTGCCGGCCATGGAGACTCCGTCCCAGCGGCGCGCCACCCGCAGCGGGGCGCAGACCAGCTCCACCCCGCTGTCGCCGACCCGCATCACCCGGCTGCAGGAGAAGGAGGACCTGCAGGAGCTCAACGACCGCTTGGCGGTCTACATCGACCGTGTGCGCTCTCTGGAGACGGAGAACGCGGGTCTGCGCCTTCGCATCACCGAGTCCGAGGAGGTGGTCAGCCGCGAGGTGTCCGGCATCAAGGCCGCCTACGAGGCCGAGCTCAGCGATGCCCGCAAGACCCTCGACTCGGTGGCCAAGGAGCGCGCCCGCCTGCAGCTGGAGCTGAGCAAAGTGCGCGAGGAGTTTAAGGAGCTCAAAGCGCGGTGAGTGCGCCCAGGTGGCGGCGCGCCCAGGTGGCGGCTTGTGGGCGGACTGGTCACCCCTGCTCGGGCCCAAGGCGGCTGCTAACTTTGCCGTACGGTCTCCTCCCTCCCCAGAACTGCCCCAGCGGGTGCCTGGTAGTGCCAAGGGAACCCGTCAAGACAGAGCAGCAGGGTCCCTGGGAGAGGGTGGGGTACACAAGGAACGAGCGGGCCTCGGGGCCCAGTCGGCCGCGGGCAGGCCCACGTTTAGCCAGGGGAAGGTTCGTCAGCCATCCAGAGCTCCGGGGAGGGCTTGAGCCAAGCAGAACTGGCCCTGCCAGGCCTGCGGAATCTGGGTGCCCCTGGACGCACCGGACTGGGCGAAAGGGCCCTGTCAGAACTTTCTTGGCAGGCTTGGCACAGTGCCAGCTTTGCCGGGCCTGGCTCCGAACACGTGATGTCCACTAAGACAGAGCCCCCAAGCTGGCAGGTGTCCAGTGGTGCTGTGGAGGGGTCACCAAGGCAGGGTGACCCCTGTCTCCCCGACGGGGGCGTGGAGGTGTCCCTTTGGCCTGACCCTTATCGGAGTTCCTTCTGAGAGCTGAGAAGCTCTTTTGACTCCCCGCGGGTCTGGGACCACCCCTGGGCCCCGACAGGCCCACCCGGCCGCTCCAGGAGACCGGCCGGCTCCGGGCTCCCCCGCAGCTCCCACAGCCCTTGGCCTGCTTGGCCCAGGAATGCGAGGGAGGGAGGGAGGGAGGGCGGAGGGAGGCCGCGCGAGGCTCCACCTCGCCAAGCCGCGGTCCGCCCAGGTCTGGCCGCCCCAGCCTCCCGGCGCGCTCGGCCGGCGTCCTGGAGGGCTTGGGGCTCTGGCCCTCTCATGCCTCCTCCTTGGCCTGAGCCACTTTCGCTTTCCCAGGCAAGCCGAGCAGTCTGCTCTGGCTCGTCGTCTCAGCCCCTGACTTTTCGATCCTCGCTTTAATAAGCTGTGGAATACAGCGACATTTTTGAAATCCAGCCGTTGGGAGCTTCAGGCCACGCCCACCTCACCCATCCCTGCTCCACCCTGCCCCACCTTGCCTGGCTCCACCTTCTTTTCTAAAAAGGCCTCTGGAGCCTGGAAGTTTGGGCTCTCCTCCAGCTCCCCCCACCAGAACTGGGTCTCCCCGTGTCTCCTGCCCTTGTCTCCTTGGAGACCCAAGCCCGAGGGCTCCGTGATGCCCCGTGGTCCCTGGGCGTGGGGCAGCTGTGGTTTGACGACCCGGCGTCTCGCCCTCTGCGCCTTCTCCGGACCTGCTCTTAGAGGCTTCGGGGCAGTCTCTGCTCTTCCCACCCCTCAGCAGCCCCCAGCCCAGGTGCGGTGGCCGTGCCTGTCATGGTCACTCCCAGGCGAAGAGTAGGGGGAGCTGCGTGGGGACCCAGCCGGCGGACTTTTATTTCGGCTGAAAGGGGTGGCCTGTCTTTCGGGCGGAGGGAGGCCGCGCGAGGCTCCACCTCGCCAAGCCGCGGTCCGCCCAGGTCTGGCCGCCCCAGCCTCCCGGCGCGCTCGGCCGGCGTCCTGGAGGGCTTGGGGCTCTGGCCCTCTCATGCCTCCTCCTTGGCCTGAGCCACTTTCGCTTTCCCAGGCAAGCCGAGCAGTCTGCTCTGGCTCGTCGTCTCAGCCCCTGACTTTTCGATCCTCGCTTTAATAAGCTGTGGAATACAGCGACATTTTTGAAATCCAGCCGTTGGGAGCTTCAGGCCACGCCCACCTCACCCATCCCTGCTCCACCCTGCCCCACCTTGCCTGGCTCCACCTTCTTTTCTAAAAAGGCCTCTGGAGCCTGGAAGTTTGGGCTCTCCTCCAGCTCCCCCCACCAGAACTGGGTCTCCCCGTGTCTCCTGCCCTTGCCTCCTTGGAGACCCAAGCCCGAGGGCTCCGTGATGCCTGGTGGTCCCTGGGCGTGGGCGGCTGTGGTTTGACGACCCGGCGTCTCGCCCTCTGCGCCTTCTCCGGACCTGCTCTTAGAGGCTTCGGGGCAGTCTCTGCTCTTCCCACCCCTCAGCAGCCCCCAGCCCAGGTGCGGTGGCCATGCCTGTCATGGTCACTCCCAGGCGAAGAGTAGGGGGAGCTGCGTGGGGACCCAGCCGGCGGACTTTTATTTCGGCTGAAAGGGGTGGCTCCTGTCTTTCTCATTAGTGACAGGGACAATTCAGTTAGCAGGACAGACAGGAGGCAAGCCAGGGGGATCACAGAGAGGGGCTATGTTCTCAGCCCGCCCACTGGGCCACCAGAGCCCCATCGCAGGTCCCCGTGAGGGGCATTCTTGGCTGGTCCCTCCGGGGCAGACACTGGTGGCGAGTGGAGCCTGGCCTCGTGTGAAGCCAGACTCGTGCGCGGGCTGGTCTCTGCCTTCTCTGCCTCCGGGTGCAGCTGTCCGGGCCTGGGACGCCGCACAGGGGTGTGCCCTGTGGGGCAGGGGAGGGGGTGGTGTGTGTGCTCTTAGTTATATTTAGCCGCTTGCCTCTCTTCTCCCCCACCGATCCTGGCTGGGGAGGCTGGGCTTCCGGAAAAGGGGGGTGGGCTCGTGCACCTGGATCCTGGGCCGATGGGTGGCAGGGTGGAGACAGACAGGGCTCAGGCGGGGGTGACAGTCCCCGTCTATGTCCCCAGTGGGAGGAGCCAGGGTTTGTCGCTCTCTTGCTGCTGCTGGGCTCGGGGAGAGGCGGAGGCGAGTGGGGCGAAGACTCTGGGAGAGGACTGTGGTGCCCCAGCTTCTCCCACGAAGGCCTGGACAGAAGTGTCTGGTTTAATGTTTAATTAGAGCTCAGAGTTCAGGGCCAGGCTTTGGGCCGGGATGCACAGCTATTTGCGGGATCCAGGCCCAGCCCGGGCACCTCGACCACACCCAAGGGCTTGGGGCATCCTCCTGTTAGCTGGGTTACAGGTTCCAAACACTCCACCCCCACAAACACCTTCATACATTCTTCCCATTCTGGGGCCTCGGTGCAGCAAGAAGACACTGAATGTGCCAGGGAAAGCCTGCCTGGGGTCCGGGTCGGAGCTGGGCCCCACCCCGGGCAGGACAGCTGGGCGGATGACTCAGACTCTGCCCCACTCCTCCCACCCTGGTGGCTTTACAAGAGACAGTGGGACACAGGGTGGAGACAGCAGATGTCTTAAAGAGAGGAGTGGGGGCCCGAATATCTGCCCCTCCACCCCACCCCTGCCTCCCGCTGCCCACAATACGGTAGATGCCTTTCCGCCGCCTTCCTGAGGTCCCGGTGGCCGGGAACCCGGGACTCCGACAGGCTTTGTGCACAAGTGGCTTTCCGGCTGGGGCTAGAGTTGTGGCCTTGGGCTGCAGCATGGCACCAGGGCCTGTGCCTGGCCAGGAGGAACTGGTGGGGGAAGCTGAGTCAGAAGTGGGGATATCCCGGGCCCACAAAGCAGAAGCGCCTCTTCCCTCCGGACGAGGCCCAGGGCTTGACGACTTCCTGGATTGCCTGCCTGGAACGCAGCCCCAGTGGGGACAGGCGGGCCCAGGTGCATCCAGGCTCCCATCAGGATAAGGACAGCAAAGGCCCGAGAGGTGTAGAGGCTTGTTCCGTGTCGCACAGCAAGGGGGCGACAGGTTGGGACTTGAGCACAGGCTCAGACCTGACTTCGAGTCAAGTGCTCAAACCACTAAACCTTAGCTTACACGCTTAGCGTCGGGGACAGGCTGGAGGATCGGGGTGGCTAGGGCTCACTCTGCAGTCTGGGGGTTCTGCTCTGGGACCAGGGATGCCTCAGTGCTCTGCTGTCCTGCCAGGGCTTGTTCGCACCTGAAGGGCAGCCTCCGGGCCTGGACGTGGGGAGACCCGGGGCCCCACCAGGCCGCAGAGCAGTGCACAGAGCTCTGGGAAGCTGGCGATTCTCGCCATGGGATTCGTCTGCCTGGAGCTGGACGAGGCGATGCCTTTTAGACGGAGGCCTTGGAGGCCACCTGGGCCCTAGTCGTCACCTGAAAGGAGCCTCTTTCTGTTATGGGGGTGTTAAGCGCTGCCCCCCACCCCAGCCCGCATTCTGATTCAAAGGCGCAGCTGAACCTTGGGGCTGAGCAGCACTCAGGGAGCCAAGGGAAGCTGGTGACGGCCCTTCCCGCTCAGGCCCCGACTGCCCCGCCACGATCGACGCCCCGGGTGGCACTGCCCCTGGCCTCCAGCAGTCTGAGACCCCTCCTGAGTGGGATGTGCCCGCTGTCCCCACTCCCAGTCCCACCCCCAGTGATCAGGGCTGGAGCCGGGGACAGCTGGGGAGACTTCTGGTAGGGGACGCCCTCCCCTGCCAACGGTGCCTCTGCTCTGCTCCCCGCCCCTCCCCAGCCCCTTCCACCTCACGCGGCGACAGCGGCCAGACCCGGTCTGGCTCAGAGGCCCAGGCGCTGGGGCAGCTCCCCAGCTGCTCCCTGCTCGGGCCCCAGCGTGCTGATGGGGACACAGGCTGAGCTCTGACGTCCTTCAGTCTGCCCGGAGAGAGAGGTTCTTAGGGGAGGTCGCAGGGTCTCTTCTGTTAACGAGAGGCCTGGTGACAGGTGGCGTGAGGGAGTGGAAACGGCCCTGGCCCTTGGTGTCCTTAGTTCTAGGCTTGGCCCTGCCACTAAATTGCTGTGTGACCTTGAGCAAGTCACTTCCCTCTCTGGATTTCCTTAGCAAGAAAGGGGCTAGAGCAGGTCTCCGGGGCTGCCTCGGGCTTCCCAGCACAGTGACGAACGCAGCGAGAAAACAGTCCTCTAAAATACCAAGCCATCGATATCAAAACCAAATGTGATGGATGGGAATGTAATTAATCGCCAGTGCTATTCTCAATAGAAATGCTTCCCACAAGCTGTGGAATTAGGTCCTGACACCCTCTGTCCTTTTCAAAGAAAGTTTGTGAGACACGGTTAACTATCACGCTTGGCTTACACTTCCTTTCCTCCTGGAAGGAAAGGACGCTTTGCTTTCTGTGCCTCTCTCTTCGGGGCCCTGGGAGGGTTGTGTCAGGAGAGGGAGCGTCC